GCAGAAAACCCGTCGTTCTGCTTTCTCTATTAAACCTTCCAAAGCATTTGCTGAAGAACTCTGTCTGGGGTAACATTTGAACTGCGTTAAAGAGGATGTCGGCTGGAAATGTGAGTCAGGCAGTGACGTGAGCGTGCAACTCCTGGATCAATAGCTGTCGCGTTGATTTCCGTCCGCTAGGTTGGCCCCGGGATTCCTGTCGGCCCTCTGGCTCCATTGGTGCCCGTCCCTAGGCCTGTTGTGGCCCCTCCCAAAGTGAACCCCACGGTCATCCAGGCGGCCCCTACTGTGTATTCTGCCCCGCCGGTGAAGAAGCAAGAGGTTAGTGAGCGTACCGACATCTGAGCGTCCTGCGAGTAAATCCTCTGCAGGGACCTTCTTCGGCCCCGGGATGCAGGAGGGTGCACAACTGAGATTCCCGTGGTGGGCAGTTCCTTGTGCAAGCCTCTGAGGAACGCCTCTGATAACATGCCTACTCCTGGGCATCATGGCCTTTCCCCCTCCCCCTGCAGGAGGAGCATCGAGAGCCCCCGCCCCCTGTGGTAGAGGAGAAGGAGCCGGTCGGGCTGGAGGAGCCGGTGATTGGTCCCAGCATGCCAGAGGCGGAGCCTGTTCCGCTGGTGGACCTGAGTCGGCTCCCTTCGCTGCGCGCACATGAGCCTCCGCCCGCCCGCGGGAAGCGCCCCCGAGGACCTGACTCTGGCTTCGTACCCGTCGAGGTAAGAAGGGACGTGTGCTGCCCGTGAGATCTAGTGTCCCAGCTTGGGATTGATGCTTGCTTCTTGACTGGTCTGCCAGAGGGGGAAGAGGGAGATGAGGAGTTGGGTGAGGAGGAGAATCAGAGGCCAAGAAGACTTCACAGTTGGTCAGGAATGTAGTCCTGGAACGTTCTGCCTGGAAGTCACATTCTCAGTCATTGAGCTTAAGGGTGTTGGATACCAGGACCTGGGTCTTTGGAGTGGGGTTTATTTCACAGCAAGAGGTATGAAAGGGTTAACGTCAGGAGGGGTGTGGGAGAGGCTAGGCCTACGCACTTAGGAGTAATTCTTACTGCATTAATGGGATTTACTGCCTAGTAAGTCTGCTCAGGAATGCAGCCTTACCGCTTGGGTCATCCTACTTTTTCTTGG